GGGTCCCTTTTTATAAGTCCCCAATATAGTACGGCACCCTTATAAAAAGGGGCCCTAATGTAGAGAACTACCCATGTACACCATAAGGTGTTAAGAGCGGCTTATAAGTCCCAAAGGCTATGAAACGGTTGATGATATAATTCCTGCATTACCCATAATAAGGAATATAGACCATAATTCCCATAGTTTAGGGTCCTTTGAGTAATGCAGGATTTTTTTTAATAACAGAAGGTCTGATCAACAACGGCATGGAAGCCCTCATAGGAGAGGTCGGAGCGGTCCCGCCGGGTATCCATCTGGCATGCCTGGGACTGGAAGACGCTGGCAATAGTGCTTTGAAGGATGCCAAAGAAGAGGTTGCCCACCAGCAGCAGCGGCACACAGTCCAGGCAGTCGCTGACGTCACCCTTTGGAAGAAAGGCTTTGTTGTTGAGGTGTGCTATGACCAGGGATCCAATGCACACCACGGCCACTACTGCAGAAACAATCTTGAGCGTCGGAGACTCTGCAAAGGCATTCACAATGCTCACCAGAATAAACAGTGGAATGAGGGTCCATCCCAGAATTGCAAGCTTCCCACTTGCAAAACTACTTCCCTGCTTCAGAGCTTGCACGAAAAGGCGCACGACAGGTTCTTCATCCACGGCTGGCGGCAGCTTGCGATAGCTGCGGTAGCCGGCTACGAAAACAAGGAAGGCCAAAAACATGAAGCTTGCAGCAACCATCCAGGCGAAAAAGTAGCCGTACTCGATCTCAACCTTGTCCCACTGAAGTTGCGCGAATCTGATACTCGGACTTACTCGTGCCTACGAACCCGCACATAGGTAGCCCCTACGGTCTTATAAAAATTAGAAATTAATTATAGGGTTTTGGGGGCCGGGGGCCCATTATACTAAAAATACAAGAAGGACCCCCCCCCACAAGAATATAGGTGAAAATATAGGGTTGTGAGGGCCCAATATCTATAATAAGGAACTCGCACATAGGTAGTTATTAGGGCTATTAGGGCCCCTATACCCCCCCCCCCCCAAAACTGCAAAACCCCAAACCCCTAAACCTTAAACCCGAAACCTTAAACCTAAATTGGTCATGGCTTGGGCTCCTTCACGCGGTTTACGAGACACCATGTCGTCAAATCTTGCAAGACTGTAGAGGAAGGAAGCTTGTACGGCCATGGACAAACTCCACGTTACCCATCTCCGAAGTGAACCCTAAACCCTAAACCCCTAAACCCCTAAACCCTAAACCCTAAACCCTAAACCCTAAACCCTAAACCCTAAACCCTAAACCCTAAACCCCTAAACCCTAAACCCTAATGCTGCCGACTTGGGCCGTCACCCCGATGCTTGGCACACCCGAGGTCGCCCAACTAGACAGGAAGGCGTGGGAGATTGCACCTGACCCAGAAATGGAGGCTTCGTGGGTTTAGGGTTTAGGGTTCAGGGTTTGGGGTTTAGGGTTTAGGGTTTAGGGAGCTACCTTCGTCTGAGACGGAGGGAGTGACGATTGTGCTGACTCGAATCGCGGCCTTGGAAGAAAACAAAATTATCAAACCCATCCGGGGCACTTCCCACGTTGATGGTGAGGTAGAAGTACCTGGCTTACCGTTCACTCCTCTCGCGGAGGCTCCAATGACATTAGAGTGTTCGAAAGTTGCCAGCCAGCCAACTAGGGTTTAGGTTTTAGGGTTTCGGGTTTAGGGTTTAGGGTTTCGGGTTTAGGGTTTAGGGTTTAGGGTTTAGGTGCAACATGAACACACAAAACCCCAAACCCAAAGATGGTTCACCAAACCTTACTTACTATGTTACAATCCCAAACCCGGAACCCCTAAAACACTAAACCCTGAACTCAAACAGCTTTTCCAAGATCGCCCAGCGGCAAGAAAAAGGATGCTCGTTTCTCCTGCAGGTGATGGGCATACTCTCGCTCAGCCCACACAGAAAACCCAGAGAGCCCCTTCATTTGGCAATAATGATGCCCTAAACCCTAAAACTTACAATGCCTGACATCGTAATTTTATGTTCTCGATAGAGTCGCCTTGAGACGAACAATGGGGTTCGTGGTCTATTACAATCGAAATGAAGGGGTTCTATCATTCATCATCAGGTGTTCCGACTCCGGTGTTATTCCATGGCATTTTCAGCTCCAAAAACTAACTGACGGAACATAACTTCAACCGCAATAATGTTATCACCCCAACATCGGCTAATGTATCTTCCATAGTTGAGGGGTATTGGTCTCTCTGCAGGTTGAGGCACACTTCTTTCACTAACAGGCTGCAACCTCTCTGCCCTGTCAGCCATCCCTTGAATGTATGAAGGGACCCTTCTGCCACCCTTAATGGGATCACCGATGAACATAACACTGCCGCATGACAGAGCAATCGCTGAATTCTCGCCAAGCCCGCCGCGACAAGTCCGAATCCGGACGCAGCACAGACACTCCCTCTCTCTCTCTCACTCTCTCTCTACCGGGACAGGAGAGGGGCCCTTCTGCACCTGTCCCTCCCTCCCTCTCTCTCTCTCTCCCCCCTTGGGTTTGGGCTTCGGGTTTAGGGCTTAGGGGGTTCAACCCTGGAGACCCCAACTCTGAGTCTCGCCCCCTCCATGCCTCCGCATCCGGGTCCGATGGATCAAACTGATTGGCGCCCATGGTGCATACGTTGGGCCTCGGAGCCCCGAACCCGGGGACCCAAAAAGGGCCGTTATAGAGGCCACCCTAAACCCTAAACCCTAAACCCTAAACCGTTATAGAGGCCTTCCTCAAGGGATATAGGCCTTCAGCTCTAGAGACCAGTGGTATGATTTGTTAACTTGGGGGGGGCATAGACCCTCAAACTACTGCTACACATACAAGCAGCCAGAATTGTTGATTGAGACAAATGCAGCACTATAGATACCAGCAGTAAGACGTAAGATGTAAGGTCTATGCCTGAGTTCAGGGGTACTAGGGGCCTACATAATTACCATTACTATTTCGGGGCGGGGGGTTCTTATTATAACTAGAATAGACCTCAAGATTCCTGTTCTAATTATTAAGGCCCCTATGTGACTTGGCTCTCTGAGAAACTTCGTGCTTCGGATCAGAAGTGACCTAAGGGAGAACCCTGACTAAGCACCCCCCCCACCTCTCCACAGTTTACGGTTTAGGTTTAGGGTGTTGTAGGGTATAGGGTATAGGGTTTAGGGTTTCGGGTTTAGGGTTTCAGCTTTAGGGTTTAGGGTGCAGGACGAGACTCAGACCACAGATCCGTATATCCACGGCACGCAATGCGGGAGGGGTTGTCCATTCGGGGTGGTTTGCCCTCAAGGGACCTGAATCCTGTCCCCCGAATCCCTGAACCCCTAAGAACCCTAAACCCTACAAAACCCCAAAAGCCCAGAAAGCGCTAAAAGCCCGAAGTCCCACAAAACCCTAATCCCCTCAACCCTCAACCACCCGAACAACCTCAAACCGCTACAAAACCCTTAACACCAAAAGCCCATAAGTCCTAAACCCTAAACCCCTTAGCTCTAAACCCCTAAAAGCCCTAAAAGCCCTACAAAACCCCAAACCCCTTAAACCCACACCACCCCAAACCTCCTAAACAGCCGTAAAAGCCCTAAAAGGGCGACAGGCAAGGAACTATTTACAACCCTAAACCACCCGAAAAACCTCAAAGCCGAACGAAGCCCTAAACCCCTTAACCCTAAACCCCCTAAAAAGCCCTGAAAGCCCTGAAAGCCCTAAAAGCCCTGAAAGCCCTAAAAGCCCTAAACGCCCTAAACCCCCTAAAAACCCCTAAACCCCACTAAAAGCCCTAAAAGCCCCGTAAAAGCCCAAAAGGGGACGACAGGGCAAGGACCAAGGAGCTCTTAATAACCCTAAACCCTATAAACCCCAAACCACCCTAAACCCCTAAACCCCCTTAAGGCCATTGGGCACCCCTTGAACCCTAAACCCCCTAAAAGCCCAAAAAGCACCGTAAAAGCCCTAAACCCCCTAAAGGCCCTTGGGCAAGGAGCTTGATGCCGCCGGAACCCAGGGCCACCAGTCCGAAAGTCCCCACCAGGTAGAAGGGAACGCTTTCCACCTTAGGCTGGGGTTTCGGATTTTGGGGTTTCGGATTTTGGGGCTTCGGATTTGGGGGTTTAGGGTTTAGGGTTTAGGGTTTGAGGGGTTTGGGGTTTAGGGTAAAGGATTTGGGGTTTAGGATTTGGGGTTTAGGGCTGAAGCTTCGAGAGCTTTTAGTAGGGTTTAGCCTTCAGGGGCTTTTAGGGGCTGTAGGGCTTATATGACTTACATAGTGCTTAGGGAATATGTGTATATATATATATATATACACACACACATACATACGCTTTGAGAGCTTTCGATAGAATGGGTTTTTAGGGGTTATAGGACTCATAGGCTTTATAGGGTTTGGGGTGTAGGGGTTATAGTAGGGGCTTTTAGGATATATGTGACTTATATAGAGCTTAGGGGCTATAGGGCTCATGGCTTATAGTGTGTCTACAGTCTACAGGGCTTATATAAGTAAAGGGCTTGCAGGATTTGGATTATAGGGTTTAGGGTTTAGGGTAAAAAATGTTGGTGTTTGTTGCCGCTTGCATTGCTGACAGGAGCACCGCACGGCACATGACGAATTTGTCCCAATCTCTCTTTAGGTTGCTTTATGTTACTTGGTACACTTCGCGATTTGTGCGTGTCAGCCTTGTGCCGGCACGATGCTACAGCTTTAGCACAAGGCTCCATGCAAGTTGTATATGCAGGAAGAACGGCAAGTGTAGAAGCCATGTGTCAGTGCACAGGCCAAGTGATCGCGCTGATGTAGGTTGGCATCTACACTTGGTCAAGCTATAGTAACTACAATGTTGTTCTTATAATCTACGATGAATATACCATAATATACTATCATATAATCTACGTATACTGTCTTATGATAGAACACACTTTAGTAAAAGCACTCTTGACAGCCGAAATCTCGAGTTGAAAGCTTTAGCCCAGAACCCGGATACCTGGACACCCCGAAGCACTTAACCCCAACACCTTCAAACCCTTTCACGCCTCAACCCCAAAAAATCCCGAGAGCAATGCCCTAAATCGAAAACCCTAAAGCCGCCTGACGAAAAACCTGAAACCCCAACCGCCCTAAACCCCTAAACCCTGAACCCCCTAAACCCTAAACCTGCAACCCCTAAACCCTGAAACCCTGAAGCCCTAAAACCCTAAACCTGAAATCCCTGCAACCCTAAACCTGAAATCCCTTAAAGAGGAACCCTAGGGACGCCGGGTCACGTTAGGCAGGGCCGCCGCCGCGCTGAGATAAGTGCCTCGGAGACGGAGAGAGGTTTAGGGTTTAGGGTTGAGGGTATAGGGTTTAGCGTTGACCTGGACCCTGCAGAACCTACCTGTTTAGGGTTTCTTAATATGATTTGCATATACAAGTCTGTAAAAAGGTAGGTTATTTGGGGTTAAGGTAGTGTTTGGGATGGTTTCCAGAACTTGGTGTCTTTTGGGGTCTTGGGGTTTCGGGTTTGGGGGGTTTGGTGTCTTGGGGCACAAGATCTTCCAAGACCCCTCAAGTACGGAATCGACCCTAAATCGTATCAGGGATCCTACTGCAGTCTAAGGTAGATTCCCTAATTAGGGGATCTTGGAGGGTCGGGGGTTTTGGGGCTGTAAGTCAGGAAACAGTGTAGAGTTGAGAGTTGAGGGTTTAGGGTCAAAAGAAATTAGGGTTTAGGGTTTAGGGTTGAGAGTTTAGGGATTAGGATTAATTTTTCTAGGGTTTAGGGCTTAGACACAGGGTTTTTGTTTGCGCACTGGCACGGGGCACTGCAAGTGAAGCTTTCACAGGTTAGAATAGATGAGAGCTGGGTATGTCAAGCTCCAAACCCTATACCTGCAGTCCCCACTGTAGTTCCTTATGGGTTAACCAACTCCATGTTTCAGATCCCATAAGACAACACCGGAAAAGGAACCACAACGGAGTCTGTAGGTAGACCGGAAGGATCAGAGAATAGGGAGTGTAGTATAGGTGTACATCATAATTATATATATATATATATATACATATATATATATATATATTATCCAGAATAAGGAACCCTCGAAATGGCATAAGTACCTATTTAGGCCCCCATGGTAGGCGTTTGGGCTGCAAATCATTCGGCACGGCCCCCCAAGCTCGATTCTCAGAATCTGACCAAAGGACACAGCAATTAGGAACTAGGCTCCGGACAGTAGTTAGTGAGTGTTTAACTAAATATAAACAACTAAGTAAATAAATGATGGAAGCTATATATATAATATATATATATATATGTATACCTATGTGTAGGATGCTGTTTGGGGGAGTAGTTTATTATTGTACTTGGACCCTTAGGCTTATAGGGCCAGGGCTATCTTGGCTGATAGGAACACCACCGCGTCACTGTCAGGCAAGCCACCAACCGCGTAAGCCAGGGACAGGATGGCGATCGTCCGGAAAATCCTGAGTCTGCTCGTAGCTCCCTACAAGTTCGAAGACAAAGACATGGGAGACCAAGCCCTAAACCCTAAACCCTAAACCCTCAAACCCTAAACCCCGGAACCCTAAACCCCAAAACCCTAAGCCCGAAAACACCAAGAAAAAAACCCAAAGTACGGCCAAGGATCCCAAAGCGCGTTGATGCAAGCCAGCCTCCCACGAAGCAGCACACATAACACACCTGGACGCAGGGGGCATATGCGGGGGTTTCCAAAAATAGGGGACCCTAATATAGCACCCTAAATAGTAGGATCCTTATTACAAGGACCCCCAAATAAGGTACCCTAATTTTGGAAACTCCCATATCTTTAATCATTCGGGATCCGCCGGCGGCACCGCCGGAGGGGGGACGAACAACAAGCAGCAATTTAAACTCAGTTGGGGCTTCGTGGAATAAAACCGAACATGTTCCAAGTCGCGGCCCAAGTACCTCAGCCCAGATGAGATTGATCGAGCTGGATTGTGAATTGCTGTAGCCGCGATCTTGCAACCACGTTTTCTGAGTGCCAGCGAAGGTATAATAACAAAGCCGCTCACAGAATTCCACCAGCACGATGAATATGATTCCAGCCGGAAACATTGTCTGGCACATGGCTTCTAAACTACACGCTGCTTTTGTATGGAAGTATGTGGCATCAAACAAGGCTTGACAACTCCTACAGCTCAAATGAGCCACAGACGGACCGGAGCACACATGCCCACGCCTGCTTGAAAGGCTCTCCTGGGACACTGCCTGAACAAACTTCTACAAAAACGCCGGCGCGGCTTCCGCCACTTTGGCAGAAAATGATTACATTACATTACATTACATTATGTTATATTCTGCATTACATTATACTCGTTTCTGTTATATTACACTATGTTGGTAAGCACGAACAATTCCAGGCAGAAACAGTTGCACGAACCCAGAGGGACCACATACACTACCGTTATGGAATCAGGTCCCAAGAGACCAACCCTGTCAAGGTCACCTTATGGTTTTGGGAGCCCAGTTTCCATATGATAGCAGTATATATATATATATATAT